TATTTCTATTTAACTTCATTTCTAGGTTTCGATTTTAACTCTTCAAATGTTCATTTACAATGGCTTTGAATTTGCCATGATATATGTATCTGCAATTCTATGTTCTTGCTCTAAAGGAATTAAAAAAAGCTTAATGGTGTTTCTGAATTCGGTCCAGCTTCGGGGAATGCACACCCTTATACGAGATGCTAAAACGAAAAAGCATGATTTTGTTTTCTACGCGGATCGACTTATTCGCTTGGTAAACAGCTTCATATTCATAAAAAATCATATAGATTTAGAGCTGAGTTATTGGCAGGATGTGAAATAATGTTGTTTTGAATCAATGTTTTAGGTTGTCGAGCATGGTCTGGGACACCTTCCTTTCACTGAGAAACAAGTCATTACTCCAACAGGTACCTGCTGTTTGCTTCACTGTATTAATTTATGAAGGCATTGATCATTAATCACCAGACTAGTTTCTTAATTCATGCCATATGCATACTTTTCCTCTGCAATGTGCAGAATACTTCTCCATTAACCTCCAAAATTAGCATTTCGGTTTAATTTGTCTACAATAGGCACTCATCTCTGCTTTTTATCTTATCACAGGATCTGTATACACTGGAGTTGTTTTCTGTAAGAGGTTATGTGGGGTCTCGATCATTAGAAGGTACATATTTCTTCGCTCATTATTGTACATGAATTTTTCTGGGTTGGTTCTGAAAACATGATTCATAATATCCATAGCATTGGAAGATTAAAGATAGGCAAAACATTTAATGTATAGTGATTACTCTAATTTCTGATATCAGTGGGGAAAGCATGGAGAACGCATTAAGGGCATGTTGTAAGGGAATCAAAATTGGTAAAATCCTCATCCATGGAGAGGGTATCAATGGCCGGCAGGTTCGTGGAACCGACTGTGTCTCTTTTCTCTCTTAGTCACTGTCTTCAAAGAATTTCTCATTTAGCTACAACATTCACCTCATTTGGCTAACTATATTGCAGCAGTTAATCTATCAAAAGCTTCCCACAGACATCTCAAGCCGCCATGTGCTATTGCTTGACCCCATTCTGGCTTCAGGAAACTCTGCTGTCAAAGCCATATCTCTACTTCTGAGTAAGGGCGTTCCAGAATCTAACATCATCTTTCTCAACCTTATAGCTGTAAGTTACTGATGTTTTTTGGTATCCATTTTCAAGGCTTGGTTCCAGTTCTGTTTTAAATCTACAACTGGGATATCATATAATTCTGCAGGCACCTCAAGGAATTCATGCCGTCTGTAAGAAATTTCCGAAACTAAAAATTGTGACATCAGAGATTGATGCATCACTGGATGAACATGATCGAGTGCTCCCAGGCATGGGGGAGTTTGGCGACCGATACTTTGGTACAGAGTACAACTACAATACCACTCTCAAGTCTCAGTCTAGCTCACAATCTATAAGCTTCGGAACACCAAAATGACTGAATCATTAACGTTATTACAGTATTTCATCTTGTTGAGAGCAATCCCAGTTTAGATTATTTACTTAAGACAGAGGATGAAATTTTGTTAAATCAATCAAATGTTCTCTTGATCCAAAGAATAACAGAATTTCTTCAACATTCTGAAAATGAGACAACGGTCTTGGAGATTTTGTTGATTTTAGTTCACATAATCATGAATATAAAGCAAATGCTACTGCTTTCAGTAAACAAATATGTAGGGTTCCTTAACCTCAATTCACCTTTTTTTGTTTAAACTTAAATGGGTGAGAATTGAGATAATATAACTTAAATTTTTAATACTAGTTTAATAACTATCTATTGCATTTAATTGCAAAAGTGGATGGTTCACCAGTTGTGTCAAAAAAAATTAATAAACTGCAAACACAAAATTGGGGACTAAAGACTTATCAGTACAAAACATGAACAAAACTTTATTCTCTCATAAATAATCAGAAAAACTGATCTATTACTATGGAAACAATTTGGGTTGGACTCGCTATCTATATAGTCCTAAATTTCCCATCATTTTTGGGACTAGAATCAACCTGGAATCAAAATTTGCCATAGAGAACTTGAAGAAAAATTCAAGATTTGTCCTTCCTACTCTTCTTCTTCCTTGAGGCAAAGCTGCTTGGTCCAATTTCTATGGACATTCGCTTTGTTCTGCAAAGCAAAACAAGATTTAAAAGTAGTCCATCATCAGCAAAATACTACATGAATGTGAAGAATAAAGTAAAGTGTCGAAAGATTTAAGGATAAAGAACAATTCATTATGAGGTAACATACCGAGCAGAAAGCTCTTCTGATTCCCTCGTACCATCTTCAACTACGCCATCTGATTAAAAAACATACAGTCAACTGACCAAACTGAGAGTGATGAATAAACAAAATAAACCAGCTGCTAATTTCCAGAACTACATCAGTCTCTTCTGACAATACTGAAAATGTCAATATACAGCCAGCTAAAAAGAAAATCAAATGACACTCGTGCAAGGTTGTTCCTAGAAAACTAATATCAAACAGAATTTGCTTCAAAACAGTGCAAATAAAGCTAGTAAACCAACTTAATGCTAGCTGGTCCATCATTACATGCTTAAAGGGTTAACTAAATGTAAAAGGTTGTGAATAAGATTATGTGACAAACGTTCTCAAAAGCTCTACCAGTTCGTTATGATCATATCCTTTTGGTTTTTCTGTAATACGCAGCAGATGGAAGACGCAAGGAACAAGGTTTATTCAAACTGGATAATCAACTTCTGCAGCCAAGTTTTTTTAACCTACAATGTTTTTAACCTACAATCGAATTCATAATTAATCTTCAAGTTTAAAATTTCCAAACATGTCATAGCCATAATCTATTAATCTCTACCACTAAATTTTATTTCCAATTATAGGTCATTATACTTCCCAAGTCGTATATATTCATCATTATGGATTTCTATTAGTTCTATACTCTGTTCTTACTCAAGCCAATTATTTAAATAAAAAAGTAGAATACAATAGCAAAAAATATTTCTGCCCAGCACAGAGCCTAAACAAACCTGTTTCATTTTCTTCATCACTTTCCTCCCCTGACTCGGAACCTGAACCCCATCGATCTCCACCATCATCATGGTCCCAGCGTTCTCCAACCGGAGGCATCCAAAAGTCAGCTTCTTCCAAATCACTCTCCTTATCTGGAGACTCCCTTACTTCAGAGATAATTTCTTCAATCTCTTTTCCCTTCTTCTTTTTCTTATTCTTCCTATTTACACTATTGGTGCTTGTCTTTGCTTCTTCTTCTACTGTTGTTCCATTTGATTCAAGTTTTTCGGTTTCCTTTTGCTCTGTTCACAGTCATTTACTTTTTAACATTCTATCCAAATTTGATCATCCTTTAAATGTAGAAACATATAGATTGAGAGAGACTACAAGATTTCATATTAGACAGCAACATAAAGATATTTTAGAAGCAGCAGAGAAATAAAAACCAACACTAACCTAGCTTGTTGAGAAACCGTTTCCCATTAATGTGCTTCCAGATGTGTTCTTCAGTCTTGTTAACCGTATCACCAGTTAGCTTACATATCAACTTTGCACTAATAAACAAAAAATTCAAACAATGCCAATATAAATTACATGGAACAAAGCATCATCCAGCTTTTATATTTTGAGCTTGACTGCAAACTATCGAACGTTTACTACCTCCAACAACAAAAACTTCCATCAACTCAATCAGATAAAAAAATAAAATATAATAAAAAACTTTTATTTTAATAATCAGGAATTTATCAAACAAAAAGCTCAAATTTTTAATTAATTTTTCAACTGGGTATTAAAAAAACAGAACCAAACTACACAACCTAGCTTCACAGACATAAACTCTTACACTCAAAAAAACTTAAAGCAACAAAGATGAAACCCCTAAACCCTAATTAAAGGTCAATAAACAAATTAAAAAAACAAAAAAAAACACTTGGATTACCGGGAGAGAGGGTCTTGCTTGAACATGTTAAGAGGGGGCTTATTGTGAGACAAGGCGAAGTCGATGAGACCTAAACGCACCGTTTGGACTGAGATAGGAATCCTTGTCCTTGAGTAGCATCTCGTGACCCGTCTCCACACACTTGAGCCTGCCGTTTTTCGAGCTCTGTAAAACTCGGTGGACCCAACAGGTTCTTCCCTTCCTTTCCTCGCTTCTCTTCCGTGCCGAAGCCATTGCTGCTCCTGCTCCTCTCCTGCTCCTGCTTCGCCTCCATACTAGTGACCACCGCTTAGTATTAGTATCTGAGTATGGTAAACAGATTTTCGGAGGAGCTTAAACGACCCGTTCATACTACTTGCATGTAAACGATTTATTAGCCAGTAATGATTTATTGGGCCTATCAGAGGTGCTAATGGGCCTAAGAGAGCCAGGCCCAGTGGTAGAAGGGCAATTTCGTACACTTTCTTAACAAAAATAAATAAATAAAAAGAAGAGAGGATGAGGTCAATAATAAGATACTGGAACGTGGAGATTTATCTTCCGCAGATTGAGGTGCTACAGACAACTGTGGCTCCACTTAAAAGAAAAATCTTTCACTTCCATCATCCCACTTCACTTTGAAGACACCTCATTAGTCATTACAGCCACAGATCATGACAAACGGTGTCCACCTATCCTCCCATCCAGGGACAAGAAACCACTGCATTTATTCTCTGCCTCGTCCATTCTTGGACTATCCTAGTCACCTGTCTGCCGAACTCCATTTTGACTACACCCAATATTTTTTCACCTATGTTTAAACTAAACTTGTTGACTTATTCACATTTGATAGCAGGATTCGTTGTCGGTCCATGTATCTTCGGTACCGCTAATGGGGTTTCCCAGTAATTATTCATTATCATTTAATAATTTTACTGTCTTTCCATGAGTAGTTTCTATAGCAATTACTATAGGTTAATCTCTCGAGGCCAAACCAGTGTGAAACGATGGATTTGGCTCACATAATAAAACAACATATTAACTTTTATCCTAACAGTGTAGTGTGAGTGGAATGAAGTGGAAGTATATATACATTATAAGTACCGAGGATGGTCTGCAACTGTACTAGACTGAAAATGGAGTGTTTGAGAGCGTTGTTTGGTGGGTTTCTTCTCTTATGGGGCTTGACAGTGAGTGCTGATACTTTACTACCTTGTGAATTCCCCGCAATTTACAACTTTGGCGACTCTAATTCAGATACTGGAGGCATATCAGCTGCGTTTGAGCCTATTCGAGCTCCTTATGGAGAAGGTTTCTTCCACAAGCCAGCTGGTAGAGATTCTGATGGCCGTCTCATCATAGACTTTATAGGTAACTGATGTTTTTTAAGATCTTTGGTTCAGTGTTATATGTGTGTGTTGTTTATGGCAAATAGAGAGATATTTTAATTGAAACCCATTTCATTTATGCAGCTGAGCGTCTGAAATTGCCCTACTTGAGTGCATATTTGAATTCACTAGGAGCAGATTTTCTACATGGTGCCAACTTTGCCACTGGAGGATCAACCATTAGACGGCAGAATGAGACCATTTTTCAGTATGGAATTAGCCCTTTTTCTCTTGATATGCAGATTGTGCAATTTAACCAGTTCAAAGTGCGCACCAAAGATCTTTACGATGAAGGTTCATTTCTGAATTATTCATTATGTGAAATAATGCCCATTAGGATTCTTTTCATTGCTTGACTTGATAACTCATGTTTGTGAATTGTGAATGTGATGCTCAGCCAAGTCAGACTCGGATAGAAACAAACTTCCAAGACCTGAGGATTTTGCAAAGGCTCTTTACACATTTGATATTGGACAAAATGATCTTTCTGTTGGTTTTCGAACGATGAATTCCAATCAACTTCTAGCAGCAATGCCAGACATCGTTTCCGGGTTAGCTTCAGCTGTAACAGTAAGTTGCAATATTTTGTAACAATTGCATAGGATTAACAAATTTGTGACTTGATTTAAGTTGTTTCCTGCATGGAACGATTGTAATGAGCTATAAAATATTCGCTTTCAGAATATCTATCAACGAGGAGGGAGGACATTTTGGATTCACAACACAGGACCTATTGGCTGCTTGCCTGTGAATCTATTCTATGTTAAATCCCCACCACCAGGCTTTCTTGATCAGTATGGCTGTGTCAAGACTCAAAATCAGATGGCTGTCGAGTTTAACAAGCAGCTTAAAGACAAAGTGGTAAAGCTAAGGGCAGAGCTCCCTGATGCTGCAATAACATATGTAGATGTCTATGCTGCAAAGTATGACTTGATCAGCAATGCCAAAGATTTAGGTAACTATTTTCATTTTAATATATTATGATGATCACTGTCGCATTTCGGTCAAAATCACGGGCTTGTTGGTTGTATTGCTTAGCGGATTCACATTCTGTAATATTTGATTACTATCTTTTGTAGAAGTAATAAATTCATTGCAACTAAAACACTAACAAAATGCAATAGATGATTGACTATCATCCTTTAGGTTTAGTATGTCAGAACTGCTCGCTCTTATGCTAAATAATGGCATTCATGTTTTTACAGATACAATGCATTGATTGCAACTATCAAAACTGATATTCTTGTGTGGTTTTATTATGCAGGATATGCTGATCCATTGAAGGTCTGCTGTGGGTACCATGAGAACTACGACCATGTGTGGTGTGGAAACAGCGCAAACATCAACAACACCCAAGTGTATGGAGCCTCTTGTAAAGATCCTTCAAAGTTCATCAGCTGGGATGGTGTACACTATACTCAGGCAGCAAGTCAATGGGTTGCTAATCATACTCATTACGGCATGTTGACAGATCCTCCAGTTCCGCTCATCCAATCATGTCATAGGCGGTGAGAACCAGCGATCACAATCATACTTGTTATTCAGGGAACTGAAAAAAATCGAGGCAAAAAATTCTAGAATTAGTAGTACAAGAGATCACCTAACTGGTTCATCTCTGGAAATATGTGGAAGTTTTAGTTTCTATGCAATCAATTTTAAGGTTGATAATTGTATGACCTTGAGAATTTCAGCCTCCCTTAGAATAAAGCAGAGAACCCTTGGCACATTTTTCTGTTTTCCTATTATGAGCTGACACTGACACTACTTAATTCAGTTTTATAATGGTTCCGCAGTATGGCATAAAGTTGATACCTTTCTAGTTTCTACCTCTTAATAGCATAAATGTTAGAATTTATACATAACAAATACTAAACAAAGTCCAGAACAAGCTGAAAAGGCTCACTGTAAAGTTTATCAGATGCCATACTACAACAGACTCAAATTAATGGACCCATTTGCAGCTTGGCTTAGCAATTAAACTCCAAGGCAGCATGAAATGCAACCGCCAGTGCTTTGATATGATGAAAAAGTTCTTTTCCGTGGCGAATAAGCACAATAAAACAGAAAATAACATTAAAGATCCGAATTACAAATCCTCCTATTACATTACTGAACAAAAATTAAACGTGTGTTAAGGTTCTAGTTTATTGAACTACACACCAACTATAAATTTATACACAATTATAGACAATGATAAATCAGTGGCGATCTTCTGGCCAAGCAACCACCCTGTGGAAGGGAACTGTCCTCTGTGGCAAGGCTCCATCTTCCTCGTCATCATCAAATTCCAGCAAATAACTGCCAAATCATTACATGATCAGGTACATGACACCATGAACAAAATTATAGAAACATAAACCAAAACCCAAAATGGTTCTATCTACAGATGATCTAGTGGATCCCAAAGGCGTTTTCATTCTGGTAGTGAATTTACAATCAGCCTGTTAGCTGTGAAGTAATGCAACCTATTTTTAATGATTTCCCTTTGAAAACACTCGGGTTGGCGAGGAAATATGTAATATGTACATTATATGTTTTGCTTATAACCTTTGACCAAAAAGAAGAAACAAAAAAGGAAAAAGATGACAGAAATCAATAAATTATTTTGTTTTCATCTATTATCAGAACACTGTACTTCCCCAGATCTGCAAAATAAAGAATGATGTGCAAGGAGGATATCACTTACTCATCACTCTTTCTCTGCGTATATACAAAATGGTTGATGGCACCCCACAGCGAATCACAGTACAATAGTAGTCAGTTCCAGCTCAAAAACAACAAATATTCATAAAATTGTAATATAAATATAGTAGAACGACATCTGGATGCAAAGTACAATGATATGATTCAAGTTTCCGCATATCAAAGGGGATGGACTGAATGGTCACCTTCCGTGGTGTATTAACAACAGTTGCCTTATAGAGTGCAGTTGTTCCTGGATAAACAGCTAAAACATGTCTTCCTGGTGCAAATTCTGGAACGCTAGAAGGATCATTTCTCTTTGGGAAAGGAATAATGCATGACATAGGCAGCTTGTACTTTCTGAAAATAGCAATGACATAAATGAATGTCATTTAACTTGAACAATTTCCTATACTCGTGAAGAACCATGCATTGACTTCTAAATTATTAGTTGGGACAAGTTGAACTTGACTTTTCCAGCCAATTAGCAGCGATAATCATATATGTTCTTACCACAGGCTTTACAAAATATAAGCAGGTTCATCATTCATGAATAAAATTTAAAACATGTAAGCCAACATCCAATATATCAAGAACATTAAAGCATAAGAGAATGATGCAAGGTTGAGTAGGACATTGCATTCATAAGGCATGTATCACAACATGGGTAAAGAGTTACAATGTACTTTATCACACTAAAACAGAAAAAGGTACAAAAGTTCCAATGTTTAAGCAAGAAACAAGGCAACAATGCAAAAAGATACCTTTGAACACCACCCTCTTCATCATCACCTGGCTCCTCATCCAGTACTTCAAATCTGCACACATAACGAGCATGTTAGTGCTGTAATCCAGGGCAAGCTAAGACATTTAAGTATGGTCTGTTATGCATAAAATGAAACTTACTCTCTTGTATCTCTATCAAAATGCATTACTTTTACAACAAACCACTCGTCCTTGTCACCATCTGTAACCCTGGCTGCTACCTGAGCAAACACAAGAAAGATCTCTTCAACTTGGAAGAATGGGATGGAATTGAACTTTTATCATTAAGGAACAATTCCAAAAACAGTTTGCCAGATGTGATAAGTAGTTTCATTTTCAATTCGGAACAGATCATGAATGATTGACTGCCATAGAGCTACACAGTTACCTGTTCATTCTTTAGACTAGCACAAGCTTCAAGTTGACTTCTCACATGACTGGGCCTTGAGATATCTGAATCATTTTTCATTCGTTTCCTTTTCTGATCATTACCTTCTGAAGCTTATATAGTGTTAGTTCTAAGAATAAAAGTTAGTAAAGTTTCATAAATATACATCCCATAACTCATTGGAATCTAAAACAATTTGAAATTTTTGAGTTTCACAAATAACATTCCGTATCTCATTGGAATCTAAAAGAAATTTTACATTTTTACTGCAAATTAACAATTAAATGTTGCCATGTCCAGGTTTACAAACTTTATATTTTTCATTAAGTAGTGTAAAGCTCCACCATCTTATATTGCAACCCATAAACAATTAGAACCATGCACAGCAAAGCAGTACACATCCCATTGAAGCAGCTATATTTAACAGCACAAAATCTTAGGTTGCAACAAAATAAAACATACTGGCAATTAATATCATTCCTGCTTCAATAGATGACTTAACACACTGAGTTATGATGACATAACAAGCATTAATTTCAATTCTGCTGGGACAAGAATCAAATTTGGTTTTGGTAGAACGGGGGGAAGAGAGAGAGATAGGCCATATGTCCATACCATGAAGCACATGTAAAGTCTAATTCCTTCATTCAAGTAAAAAGAGCTTCATGTTATACACAGTCATCACAATTCACAAAGGTAATTAGAGATCGTCACTGCCAAGCAAGATTGAAACTCATACACAATATTGGCATATCCATCTGCCAAGTTACATACTCTTGATATATATTTTCAGAAGAAACAGAAAGGAATCATAAATTAAAAGGATATAATGACTTCTGCATCACATATATTTTTCAGCTATATATTTCAGACAAAAATTTACATATAAGAACTTATTAAAAGGATTTTACAAACACAAATCTTGCACATGAACATATCACATTACAGCTAAGTTATAATACATACCTATTCTTCTTCGTTGTTGTCCTGGAGGTCCAGGTGGCAAAAAAGCATCGAGTTGATTAAGCAACATGTTGGAAACACTGAAAGTACAGAAACAATGGGTTAGAATAGGATAATCAAGTAGAAGATCAACCCAAAGGGTAGACTACTAAACATATTTTGACATAAGTGACCACATTCCTCAATATTTACTTTTTATTATTTAATCAACAGTAAAAATAAGAAAAGAGAAAGAAACAGGATAAGAACAGCAAACAATAATCAACTTCATGAAGGATATCAAAAGCCATACGCTACTTCGTTTTCTGAAAGGTCTTTTGCCTGAATATATAAACCTTTAAGCTTCGCTAAAGAATTATCACCAGGCTTCTCAACCAACTCAGGAGCTGCATTGACATGAAAGAAAAGTTAAGACATAATACAAACCAACTGCAACTGTTAGCATGTGCATATAAATAAACTCAGAAACCATCAAATATCATCTAGTTGCACCCAATTGTTTGAACTTTTAAGTAGGTTTGCCTTTTGGATATATGTAAATCAACTCAAGAAAGCAAAAACCATCCAAATATCATCTAAAGCATGGGTACAAGAGCTATTACATGAGGATCGGCAAGTTTAAGTAGTTCTTTAGGCATGTACGTATGTGTTAAGAAAAAGATTTTGAGCATTTAACATATGTTGACCCATCATTATAGATTCCTGTTAGCATATCCTATCAAGAATTTCTAAAAATTTGTCACATGTCGTTTTGCCAAAAGTATACTAATAAAAACACAATAATAATATCGCCAACGCAAGCATACGTTTCAAAAGCCACCAATACAATATTATTCAAAACATTTTTCTACTAAATGTGGTAAATTTAATTCCTGGTTTATGTCGACATATGTATTGGGGAGCTCCCATACTTTTATTAGATAAATTTCCATCTTTGGTAGAAGAAAAATTAAATGTACAAGACTAAGGATAATGATCACATATAGATAATGCTGACTGATTACAGAAAAAATAATAGGCATAACTGTGGAAAACCAGAATATAATGGGCAATAATGTATGGTGCATAAAAACTGTTTTATGAGCAAATTAATGACTTTAAATAGGGTATTGTCGCCATCTACAATGCAATGAGCATCAAAAAATTAGGCACAAAACCATTCATTTATTTTTCCGTAGACTTCCAATCAACTGATCACTTCTGTACAAAATTATGATAAGAAGCATAAATCCCTTGTTTGTACTTAATTTCAAGTTTATCCCTGCTTGAAAACCTAAATGCGCAAATTTATGTTTAAGCATATCAAAATCAGATATCACTTGGCAACCTCTATCTATTAGTATCTCTAGTACCTAAGCTAAAGTAAGCTCTGCATTGATATGCAAAATTGTCCTTCGAACATTTAATGTACCTAAGACACACAGACTTGTAGCCACATAATCAATCACCAGGAAGTATCCACATACAAGATCCCAGCTTCGAAGTCTTTTGTCTTTTATGATCAATAACTTATATCTCCAAACTCCACATCTTCTAATCTCTACTAGAGTACCCTATCTTCACCTCTCTTGTACATTTAGAACCAGCTAGTAACTTACTCAGCCTAAATAAATATCTTCAAAATATCCATAACCGGATAACAAAGTCACTTAGCACGCTTCAAATTTCAATTTATTCTAACCAAAATCTACAAAACGAGCTCAAACACAAAAATAATTTTCAACACTAATATTACTAATTTAAAAAACAAACATGCCCTCAAATTTCAACCTAATTATCATCAAACACCAACATTACTAATCTCTCACAAACTCTTTAATTAATAACACAAATAATACATAAAAAACAAAATTAAAAACAAAATAGGATATACTTAATAGACTTACTAGCTTGAAGCTTCTTGTGCATTTTGTTGATTTCAATGAGAACCTCCTCTTGTTCCTTCCTCAACCGATCGAGCTCCTTGGACCTGTCCAAGATATCCACAACGTCCGGCGACGACATCGTTGTCGCTACAAGAAAANCTAAATAAATATCTTCAAAATATCCATAACCGGATAACAAAGTCACTTAGCACACTTCAAATTTCAATTTATTCTAACCAAAATCTACAAAACGAGCTCAAACACAAAAATAATTTTCAACACTAATATTACTAATTTAAAAAACAAACATGCCCTCAAATTTCAACCTAATTATCATCAAACACCAACATTACTAATCTCTCACAAACTCTTTAATTAATAACACAAATAATACATAAAAAACAAAATTAAAAACAAAATAGGATATACTTAATAGACTTACTAGCTTGAAGCTTCTTGTGCATTTTGTTGATTTCAATGAGAACCTCCTCTTGTTCCTTCCTCAACCGATCGAGCTCCTTGGACCTGTCCAAGATATCCACAACGTCCGGCGACGACATCGTTGTCGCTACAAGAAAATTACGTCGTTTTTAAGTTCTCTAAACTTTAATCTAAGCTCGATTGCAGTTCGATCATATCCTAATTCCTACATTCAGTAGAATTGAAATTTTATTTCATTTGACCCAAAAAAAAAAAAATGTTATTTATATATTTTCTTTTGTTTTGATTTCAGGTGACCGACCGATAGAATTTTAAAAAAAAAAAAAAAAGGAAAGAAAAAAAGGATTTTTTCGTAAAAGTCCTGAAAATTGGAGATGTGATTGAAGTGATGCCGTTTATGGTAAATAGATAAGAATAAGTTTTGATTGGATGATGAGAAAGGTTGTGTTTGTTGATCCCGGTTCAGTAGCCACGTGGAATATAGTTAAGCACTGATTGGTTAATAACTGTCCCCACACCTACACGTGTGGTAAATGAAGCATCTCGTATTCTTGTTGGATGTTGGGGGCCCGACTTGTAATCTGGACTTTGGGCCCAATAAGATCCACATAGAAATTGATTTCATGTCTAAATGTAATTGGTCATTAAGTGGATGATAGAATAATTTGTTTCCGATATTAGGAAATTCGGTGGTGTTTGGTTTGTGGAATAAGATTGGATTGGAATGGAATTAGGAATTTCAAGGGGATAATAAAACCAACACATATTTATCCGATATGAAATTGTAACTGTCAGCAAAAAGGTCTCCTTCCACTTGAATATGATAGGAGGCCTTAATCTTTGTTAATAACTGTGCTCAATCACACTTCACTTTCATTAACCGGAGAGAAAATTGGAAATTAGTTTTATATTTATTTTTAATTAATTAATTATTAACAAATAATTACCATAAACATCTGGCTTTATCCAACAGAAAGAATATTTTTTATTTTGAGAAAATATTCACTTTGCATTATCATATGAGCTGCGGCTAAACATTCGATTCTTATACATATTATACACAAAAATATGGGAACGTGCAAGTTTGTGAAAACAAATTATTGGGTTAAGTTTTTTTTTTTTTTTTTTTTAATAACTATAATAAAAATTTAATCTAATTTGCTCAAAAAGTTTTAAAGCCGTGAGGGGCAATACCATTACTAGTCTACCGGCCAAGCAGTGCAAGATAAGCTTAAGATTAAAGATTAAAATGATGCTTTTGCGTCTGGAATCATGCATTCTAATGGAGCCCACAACGTGATGACCTCATTTGATTTAATCACAACGCTCCATTAGTGAATGACGATTGTTTACTTCAATCTCTCTTTGATTCCAATCTCAATTTTTACGATAAAACTAAAAGCCAGATATCAGTTTTAACTGGGACATTGAGTTGTTCTTTCTTCTCTTCTTCTGGGTTTCTTTGTTATTAGATTTTTTTTCAGTAGGTGGCAGACAGATACGTTGAAGATTGCTTTGAGAAACTGAAGCTGAAACAACCTTGACCACGTCTGTACTGTTTGGTTGGTGAGAAAGTTATTCACGATTCACATTTTTTTCTTTATTTAAGATTTTCTTAATATTTCTTCAATTTTTTTCTTTTTTTTTTTTTTGTGTGTGTTTAACTGCGCACGTGCTCCGTTCAGATTTATGATCCAATATAAATTTATTGAATTGGATTACATGAAAGCTGAATTACTTCTGTTAATTGGGTTGACGGAATCATGAAAACATTTGAAAATTATTTGTGATTCTTTGTTTGATACTCATTTGTACATTTAAAATTATGATTATATGCAATAGAATCTCGGGCTAAGCATTTTATTAATTTATATTATGAGGGGATACCGATTTCATTCCTGTATTCTAGTTTAGTTTTAGAATAACAAACAATGAGGATGCTGATATCTGATTTTGAACTACAGCAATTGCATGAGATGGTCTTTCAATCCAGGTTTTGTGGGCTGAAAGTTTTATGCATCCAATTTACAATGCTCATCACTTTTTTTACTGTTTTTGCACAAATTTTTCAGGGGTGGTAGTGAAGCATTGTGTTAAAACTTGATGAGTACATGTTGCTGCTATTGTGTGTTGGCTTTCAACTGTCCGTCTTTAAATCTGGGCTGTACTGTTAGTGGATTTTAACAATAATGGCACTAGCCATCCGAAGGTACGGAAACTAGATGCTAGTGTTTTAGAACAGAAGGTTATCTTCTTTTTTTCTTTTTTATATTTTCCTTTTTATTCTCATTTTTATTATTATTATTGTTTTCTTTGACTTTTGCTAGTTCGATGAAATAAAAAATGACATTAAAATGTGTGACATTGTCTTCTCTTGAAGTGCAGTGGAAGTCTAAGGAAACCGAGTGAGATGATGAAGATTATTATAACAACCTTTGTCGGAGTTATTTTTGGCTTCTTTTTAGGCATTTCCTTCCCAACAATCTCCCTAACGAAGGTAGATTAGCTTTATTAATAATTTGTTTTAAACTTCTCAGTGCCTTGTAGTACAATTGTCTTCTCAATCCCATGCTTTCCATATTGCTCCATAGAGTAACAGAACTTACCCATATGTGTTTAAATTTGGTAGATGAATCTCCCATCTAGCCTCATTCCTTCCATTGATCTTACTTATATTGAGGACAAGTACTCTGGCCTTTCAACCCAAACACTGTTGAATGTGTGGTCAACTTTGAAGAGTAACAGAGCCCTCCTATTTGCTGACAGAGGTAACCAAACAAAGGTACATCCATTTTTTTTTTTTTCTTTTCTGAAAAATTTAACGTCCTCTTTATCTGATTAAATTCTGCAGGGCAATTTGGGTTTTTAAGTCTTGTGATATCTCCATATCTAACTTGGTTGTTCTTAAAAGAAATCAGCAGCTTGTGTGCTTCTGATTTTCTGTGCTACCGCTGACAATTAACCTTTGTATTGTAATGCAGATCTGGATTCCAACAAATCCTAAAGGTGCTGAAAGACTTCCCCCTGGCATTATTGAATCAGAGTCTGATTTATTTCTCCGCCGATTGTGGGGTCTGCCTAGTGAGGTGTGCATCTTCTGCCTTAATTCTTATGTATGCAGGACACTTTTCATCTACATGTTTACAATTCTACTTTAATATCAATGACCTTGATGTGTTTACCTTGGTTGAACTTAATATGAAATTATCAATACAAGCATATGATGATTTCTTCACAGATACAAGCTTATATCTGACGTTAGAAAAAGTCTTAGTAAGTGTTTGCAGACACAGAAAGAATTGATAAAAAATACATCATTCGGAATTTAAGGTTATCTGGGCAGTTCATGTGACCAATAATTGCAAAGGGATGAAAAAATATCTTTCAGAAGGAACTAAGGGTAAAAAAGGATAAGGTTTGGTGCTTGTATAGAAAATAATCTCAGTGATATCTTACTCTTTATAGCAAAGGGATGAAAAAATATCTTTCAGAAGGAACTAAGGGGAAAAAAGGATAAGGTTTGGTGCTTGTATAGAAAATAATCTCAGTGATATCTTACTCTTTATAAGTTGTAAGGATTTACCAAAGAAAGAGAAGAGGGTCCACAAATGTTATGTACCAGAACAAGTATATATAATATATAAAAGGAATTGAAAACTGGTTCAAAACTACAATTCTTCATGATTATATCACATGTTAGAATCAGCACGATAATAATTTTGAAAATTGATCACTGTATGTTTTTTTGAGTTTGTGCTGCCTACCCGAATCATAAAGATTGTAAATACCTTAAGATTCGCAAGATGATGATCTGATTTTAGTGTGTGCTTGTTCTTTACATTGAATCTTTGATTGATGAGGTGGCACTTGCAGGACTTAACCATCACACCAAAGTATCTTGTAACCTTTACTGTTGGCTATAATCAGAAAAAAAATATTGACGCAGCAATTAAAAAGGTTAGTTTGCTCTCTCTCTCTCTCTCTCTCTTTCTCTCTCTCTTGCTCTCGTGTTCTCTTTTTTATCAAATTTCTTTTTTGGACAGTTCTCAGAAAATTCTCTCTCTTTCCTCTCTTGCTCTCATGTTCTCTTTTTCATCAAATTTCTTTTTTGGACAGTTCTCAGAAAATTTTACTATTCTGTTGTTTCACTATGATGGTCGGACAAGTGAATGGGAAGAGTTTGAGTGGTCAAAGCGAGCCATCCACGTGAGTGCACGGAAGCAATCTAAATGGTTAGCAGCTTGCTCCTATGGGAAATTTTAAGTAAATCCATATTAGTTGTGTGTTGTCTGCAAAGGATTTCTTAAGTCGTAATTTTAAATGAACTTCTGTAATGTCTTCAAGGTGGTATGCCAAACGTTTTTTGCATCCCGACATTGTTGCACCATATGACTATATTTTCATCTGGGATGAGGATCTCGGGTTGGATCATTTTAATGCTGAGGAGTGAGTGTAGAAAATTCACCATCCTGCTTTAAATGAAACTATTGCTTTAACTAAACTAGAATCTCGAGTTTAAAATGATTCTTCTCTGTTTCAGATACCTTAAATTGGTAAGGAAATATGGTTTAGAGATATCACAGCCTGGTTTAGAACCAAACGGTGGGTTAACATGGGAGATGACAAAGAAGAGAGATAACAGTGAGGTTCACAAGTAAGAACAACTGAATTCTTTTCATTTTTTGCTTATCACAGTTAAATCCACTATTTTTGGCTTCACCATTTTCTATTGATTTGTTCATTTGTAATTTTTTTTAAGTCATCTCTTACTTTTGTGCTCTTGCAGGGATGCCAAGGAGAGAAATGGTTGGTGCGGTGATCCACATTTGCCTCCCTGTGCTGCGTATGTAAACTTATCATTTCTGTGTTATATAACTATTAAACAATTTGTACTTCGTTCCTTTGACCCCCTGCACAACTATTAGGCCAGTTTTTTATGGCATATTTTAAACTAAATGCAGATTTGTGGAGATTATGGCCACTGTGTTTTCTCGGGATGCATGGCGTTGTGTTTGGCATATGGTTCAGGCATGTAGTACTGTATTAATTGTTCTCATTTTTCCATTCCTCATTTATCCATGTCTAGTAAATCTAAAACCTCTGCCCTACAATTGCAGAATGACTTGGTTCATGGATGGGGTCTAGATTTTGCACTAAGAAAGTGTGTTGAGGTTAGTGGAAGGTTTCCTTCTGCTTTAATCAACTTGTTTCTGTTTCTGATTACATAACTTTGCTCTGAAACAGCCTGCTCACGAGAAAATAGGAGTTATAGATGCTCAGTGGATCGTTCATCAAGGTGTTCCCACGCTTGGGAACCAGGTAAACACCATGCCATTGACCATATTGCTTAAGTTGTCCATACATAGAAAGAGTTCGAACTCCTACTTATAAGTTCTTCCTATGTTTTCTTCTTCTAACAGGGGCAGGCTTATAGTGGAAAGGCTCCCTGGGAAGGGGTATGCAAAATCATAATTTATTCAGTGTCTGTAGTTCTTACTCTTTCATGCTTGTAGATAGACCGTTTAGCGCACACATTAGAAATGCAATTTGTTGAATTCAGATGAATTTTTCACTATAAATATAGGAAGAGCACTGAAATTGTGTTGTCATGGCAGGTGAGGGAGAGGTGTAAAAGAGAATGGGCAATGTTTCAAGATCGACTAACGAATGCGGAGAAAGAATATCTTGAGGAACTGGGGGTTGATTCTTCCAATCTAACAGCAGACAATCAAAAAAGTATCATGGACTGAACACTCTTAACTTTTCTCATCCCATTCTTTGTGATATTTAACTCTTTTTATTTCTTTTTTGAACTTTTCATACCACAAAGTATCATTTCATCGCTTAGTCTTGTAGGGTTTCTCTCTTTTTTTGTTTTTTGGTTCTCTTTCTATTGCTAAATGCTAATTAAGAATTGGCATTCCTTATTTTAGTAAATAACATTGATTATTGCCAGAAAAAAAAAAAAAAAAAAAACAATTAAAGATGTTAGAATATGCATTCCTTATTTGTTTTTTGGTTTTAGTGAACCATTTTCAGAAGACTCTTCATTGAGAAAATGGCAGCCACTTTTAATGATAAATGGTCTGAATGTAGCTTCTCCAAGCGTCATATTATTATTATCTTAGGAATCGTTCTCTTCGGCTCACATCTCATTGGGTAGTTTGGGATTGAGTGATGAACTGATTTAAGAATGCATTACAGTTTGACTACTTGGTGCATGCAAAGTCTTTGAATTAGTGATGAACTGAATTTAAGAATGCTTACAGGTTTGACTGCTGGTGCATGCAAAGTCTCAATGTGGATCCAAAAATTCTCATATAAAGTGATCACGGACTACAAGTGAGGGAAGAAGATATGAATAATGCATCTTTTTCGACTTAGTTTCAGGGAAAAAAAAAAAAAAAAAAAAAAAAAAAAAAAAAAAAAAAAAAAAAAAAGCCTTTCTTTTATCGCGCAGTGGCATGGGATTTTCTTTGTGCTGTGATTCCAACTCAACTTGATTCTATCAAAAAATAAAAGACTATCTAGATCTTCTTACATATCTTTAATTTTTCAACATACTTTAAAATGGTGGCTTGCAACATATATATAGTGTTTTGGTTTTAGTAGAAACCAATAAAAAAAGCTAAATTATCAAGAGCTCTTGTGTGCCAACTGCAACAACTCCAGAGAGAATAAAAACCGAACACAATTTATCAAACAATTGAATGTTATTAACTTTATATAGATATAATTTAATGACACCTATAACTTCCTCTCGCCGTTGCCCCAAAATCTTCAGAAAGCAGCAGCATATAAGAGTCATCAATTAGAAGTAATTTTTAGAAATTGCCTCTTCCAGCTCTTTGAAGTCCCAAGCATCATCTGCAGAATAGTGCCCTGTAAAACAAAGGGGGAAAGGGCAGAGTTGAGAAACTATTAACATTTGGGTGTTATCCAAATATCACATTTTTACATGTAATATAAAGTTTATTAAATCAAAACTGTGGAGAAGCCTTACCAATTGAATCTCTTCGAAGCGCAGTTAGATGAGCACAACTGTAAATGAAAAGGTAAGATCAGAAATATTCCTTCTCATTAAGCAAAGTTAAACAAATTTTCATGCTGGACACAATATATCTTTTTCATACTGTTTTTCTCCTTTTCACACAAAAACTCAGGTTGTGATGAAGGATGAAAAGGTGAGCTCCTTGATAAAAAATTCAATATTCAATAATTTAGAGTTTCAGAGTTTGGATACTATCCTCATTTATATAAAGTCATTCATTCTGTAAGTTTCACAAAATTTACCCGGCTTTCAGAGGAATCAAGTAGGATGATTCAGGACACAATTAATTATAAGGGTTCAAATAAATCATATGTCAAACAGTTCAAGTCCAGCAACTATTAGAATGAAGTACCTGCACCATGACGAGGCAAAAAATATTACACAAGGATTGAGTTCATAAGCAGTGATTACCTGCCGAGAGCCTTCCCAAAATCTGCACATAGTGACCGAATGTATGTTCCTTTAGAGCATGTCACTCGGAAAATTAAATTTTGTCTGTATACAAAGCACAGAGTTAATAACAAGAAAAACCATATCTGTCTAAAATTATGGAAAAAGAGACACAGCTTCCATTAGTTTTACAACAGTCATTCTGGCCATCAGCTTCATTTCTTAAAGGTCAACTAAAAAGACATTATGCTTTCTATTCACAGATTAATAGAAGAAAATATCAAGAAGTTTATGAGTTTTGTGTAGTAAATCCACAAAATATAGAAAGAAAGAATGGGAAAATAAAAAGAACCTGTCTTCTAAGCTACGCTCAATTTCAAACTGGAAAATTGAAATTCGTCTAGGTGAAAGCTCAACACTCTCTCCTCTTCTAGCTTTCTCATACATCTTTTCACCTCCAACCTATAAGTAAATAGACTGTTAGATGCTATTTGAAAAGAACCTCTCTATGACAAAAAGAGTTTCTAATTAATTTGAAGAATTTACAATATCCCAAGCTGAAGAAAAATATACAAACTCAAATCTCGTATAATTGTTTCTGGAAAGAATTAGAAAACAAGTTCAAGGGTGTGAATAAACAAACTATTCAAGCTGAAAGGAGCCTGCATTCCCAGTCTACAATATTGATGTGACTTATACAAAGAAATTTTATCTCACGTGCTCATTGTAGGATAAAAACTGAATAAAGATTTGAGCTTGTCAACTTTGTCTACAAGTAAGTCCTGGAGCGTAAATGAAATAGATATTGAGCATAACATGACTTGATTTGCCAAAAGATAAGGATGGATGCAACCATAGTGTCAGCACTTCAACCTCATATATACTTATTTGTCAAATTACTATTACCTTTCAGCCACAAATTCAGTTGTATGTTTTGAATTTTTAAGTTTCTGGAAGCATATCTACACATTTATGTGTGTAATATAAGAAGAAAAAAAATCTGTCCGCATATCTGTCGCTAGAACCAATTCTTACCTTAATGGCAGAAAACATTGGAGGAACTTGCCATATCTCCCCACAGAAGGATGCAACAGCTTTCTTTATGTCTTCATCTTTGATATGCTCCCAAGGCTCACGCTGAATAACCTACATAAGAAGGTCAACCCACTGAAAATAAGGTGTACAGTTTAACTTGAAAAACACAATAACACATTCTATAACTTGAAAATAAGGTGTACAGGTTAGTCATTATTAATTGACAAACATACTGGTGAATCAGCATCCCATGTTGAAGTAGCCTCCCCCAATCGGAAAACTCCACTGTAACCCTTAATCATACCTTGATACCTGCAACAGAAATTTCTGAAACCCTCAATGACCTTCCTTTGGTGCATATTCAACAAAGCACATTTCAAACTTAATCCAGTACGCCAAGGAAGGAGGAGGAGCAGACACTAAAATAGAGTAGAGAGAATGAAAAGTGAATAACTTGTTTATAAAGTCCCTGCATGGATAAGTAGCAATATAACTTAACCAATTCGATTAGATTCAAAACTTACCTATCCACCAACTTAGTGGCTTTACCAACACATACAATCAATAAACCAGTTGCCATGGGATCAAGGGTTCCAGCGTGTCCTACCTATAATCAAGCATATACAATAAATTTTTTTTCTTTGAAAAAAAAAATAGTTACATGGGTATAATAACAAAAAAAAACACCTTTTTCACTTTGACAAGACGCCGCAGCTTTCCACATACTGTAAAAGAAGTCCACCCTGGTTCGCAAAATAACTATTTTATCTTTCAATAGATGTACAGATGACAATTTGATATTGAACTTTAAACAAGTTGTCGATAACAGGGATATGAAGAGAACTAAGAATTTGGTGTCCTCTTAGTGTCCACAAATGAGTGGCAAAATGACAGACTACACAATGCGGTTAAAATAAGATAACATGAAGCACAGTAGTCTCTCTTATAAAAGCACATGACAAGCTCTAATACTGCCACTGAGGTTAACTTTTTCTCAGGCCTCCCAATACAAGAAAACTAAATGTCGAAGGGTACATGTACTTTCGTACTGTCTAATGTATCCAATTATTTACAATTGCATAAAGAATCCTAAATAACATAATTGTCTTTCTAATTGAAAAAGCCTCAAGCACACACTGCTGGCAAACGATGCTTCTCTACTTTTTCATCAATATCTTACAATTTAACTCCATCTATACTAAATCTGTCTATTTAATCTGACACTGAGACTTAAAATAATGCATCTGTTGCCAATGTATTAAACTTATCTCTTTAAGTAGTACAACGTCAAGTAGTAATAATAAGAAAAAGAAATTGTTTTGCAGAAGTGTAAACTAATTTCATGCACCAAATAAAATACACCCCTTGTTAGTACTATGGTAATGCCATAAATATCGCAACATAACTATTGATTCACCTTTTGGCTTGTTAATCAAAACCATTGTTCCAAAAGGACCATCCCAGGTCGGAGGAAGCTCAGTTCTTCTAGTGAGAACATAAGGCTCCACACTGTCAACTTCAGATTCCTTATTGGGAACTTTCTTCAAACAGTTAAAGAACTCCTGCACTTTTTTCTCACTAACCTCCCTCTTAACATCAACATTCACATTTTTTGCCGAAATTCCGTCTCCTTCACTCTTCTCCTCATCAAAAAACACCAACCTTTTCTCATCATCTACACTATTGACCTCTTCTTTTTTTTCCTTACTCTTGTCACCCAATTTCTTCTTTGTTTTCTTCACATTTTGCTCCACATTAGTATCAAGAAACGCCTTATCAAGACAATGATCAGGAAAATACTTCTTTTCCAACTGATACACCATCTTATAATGCTTGTCTTTCTCCCATGGATAAGCAAACGTATCATAAAAATACAACTCTTCTTCCCTTTTATGCAACCTATCAAACTCCACAACTTCAGGCTTCAACTCAACAAAACCCTCATCATTTTTACCAAACTCATCATCAGAATCCGACCCATACATTCTTTTCCTTCTCTTGTTATAATACTTTCTCATAGACTTACTCATCTCAACATTAGCCGAACTGGGTAGTTGGCTTCCTTTCGTTGCTTCTTTCTCAAAAGCCAATTTCTTATCAACCCAGTTGTCAAAACCCGATTCAAGTTCCGGTTCAGCGTCATCAGGAGAGTTGGTCGAGTTGACTCGGGCGGGTCGTCGGCGAGTGCGAGGAGTTTGGTTGAGAGAAGACTGAGTGGGACGGTTACTGATCATGTCGTATTGAAGAGGATAGGGAGTTGAGTTTGTAGAGAAGTGTTTCGGTGAGAGTAAAAAGAAGATTTTGTTGTTTAATGGTGAAGGTAGTAAGTAAGAGAGTGTTGGTGAAGATGAAGAAGGCAAGAAAATTTTTGGGCGGAAGAAGAGGAGAGACATGTTGGTGAGGGAAACTGATTTTGTCATTGGTTTTGCTGACTGATTGAGTTGTTGTTGCTGATGTTCATATCATTTGAAGTGCTGGGTTTCCGCGTAGCTTTGTCTTTAAAGCAGTGGTGATAGCAAAAGCTCTGCAACTTCGTCTGGTCGTTGGATTTCTTGAAGATGATATGCAAATGAAGCGTAATGTGGACCATGCGGGCCGGCCCATTGGCCCAGTCCACTCTTTTTGATCTATAAATTCATTTCATTTTCATTTTTTTAATTTTATTTTATTTCAAATTTTCTGGGTCTCAGTCTCTCACCCTCACTCGCGCTCTCGCTCCACTCCACGCACATGGACCCAGCATCAGACGAGTGGGAGCTCTGCAACGACGATGGCTTTATTTACAAGCGGAAGAAGCGGCGGCTCGCCGAACCATCAGCCTCTCAACCCACAGATCCTGAAGAAGAAGAAAGGCACCGAAAAGAACGCAAGAGAAAGGCCTTGTTGAAGCTCAAAAAACACTACCAGAAAGAAATCAGTCAGTGGGAACTTTTGTCTAGTACTTTGCATGCAATGCAAGAGAAGACGCAAGATAAAAGACTCCAGAACGTTGAAGAAACGCCGTCGTTTCTGGATTCGGGTTCGAACCTCGTTGAGGAGACTGAAACGGGTTGTGGGTCAGTAGTCGATGAGCTCCTTTTGCAGGTAATTTGGGTCAAATTTTGAGTTTTAGTTAAAAGTGATGAATGTGAGAATTGGGTTTAGTTAAGATTTGTTTTTGGGTTTAGTTTGGGAGTAGAATTTCATGATTTGTGGTAACTTTTTCCTTTTAGCATTTAATTTTGTTAGTTGCGGAGCATGATTTTTAGGGCTTAGGGTTTTTAGTTCTTACTGAATAATTCAATTGGTTTGTTGTTTGAGTTCTTACGATCATTAATGGGAATTCTTGAAACAGAAGTACAGTAGCCTTAATTGGATTGAATTTTAGAAGAACTGATTACAAATCTTTAACCAAGAATACTGAAACGAAACTGAACTTATCAAAGAGTACTTGTTTATGAAAAAATTTTGTTGATTGTTTTCAGGGTGGAACTTCTTGAAACCCAAGTGATATTAATTGGATTGAATTTTAGAGGAATTAATTGCAATTCTTTAGAACATTTTCATAGCAACCAAGAACAGAAAGTGAACTGAAAGAGTTACTTTTAGGAATTTAATTGTAATGGGGTATTTGTTTCATATACGTGTTTGCTATTCTTGCTTTACTGAAGACCTCTGTTGAATTGCATAACCCCACATGAACGGGGACTTTTGGTTCGTCTTTAAAGTTGAATTTTGTTTTAAGCTCAGTAAGTCCTGAATTGCAGGTAGAAGCTCAGGAAGCAATAATTCATGATGTTTCGAATTTGTGCGATGTGGCGGAAGCAATGTGCAATGCACAAGAGGAACAGTTAAATCAATCCTTTGTCAATCTTCCTGTCTGGTCTTCACCGCGTGAGCTTATGGCTTCACTTTGTGACAATTAGGTTACTTCTGGAGTGTTAGTATATGGAGGGTGGTCTTTAACTGTAATGAATACATTATGAAAGAACCTGGATGATAGTATAAATCTTCTAGTTGATTTTTTATTTTATTTTTTTCTTCTTTGTATGATCTATGATTTAGGAGGTGTTGTATCTGATTGATGAAGGAGAGATAGGTAGGGTGAGAAAATTGTGGAAAGGAACCTGAATGAATATGTACATGTATGTTTATTTTATTATGTTTTGATTAATTACTTATGAATAGCAATTTTTACGTTCAATATTAAGAATATTTTGTAGGCTAATTTCAGGAGACAGATTGAAGTTTGAAAGATATTTTATTCCGGGGGAGTACTCATCTCCATTTTTTCCGGTAGCAATCAGTTATTACCAAAACCAGATGTGTGTTTTTGCAGAGGACTCTGTGATTGCAAAGTTGCACTTTGCAGCTTAATATAATTCAAGGGCATGTTAGCCGATCTCAAATATTTTATGAAACATAACTGAAAACATTTATTCTAAGTCTGATCATATCATGTTTGCATTTTCATGGCAAGTTCAACTTTATTGACAATAGAAATTAGACAATAAACAAATAAACACGTGAAGCATTTTTCCAGATTTTGTTGGTTTTAACTCTTTTAGAGCCTTAAATTCTCGTATTTATACTCTCATTTGAAAGGGTACTTTTATCAACATCAGTTAGGCAGGAAGGAACGATTGTCACTGGTTGAATTGAAAATCCGGCTTTGTGACATGCATCCTCCAGAAGGTTAACTTGCGAAGGACCATCAGGGCAGAATGCAACTATAGCTCCTCCACTGCCCGTAAATTTTGAAGCAGCACCCACTCGCCGTGCAACCTCCACCATTTTTATGTTTAAATCACCCAATGCCGCTTCTCCAAACATGCTTCTGCATAAGATCCACAAACCAAGCATCAGTGTAAATAATACACTAAAATACAAGTTAGCTCATTGACTACAACAGATGTTCATAAAAGCCACATCTTCTATCCTTAAAAAGTAATTTTGAAGTAACCAAGTGGAACTTATACAATTGTTAAGATATAAACAAAAGAGTTTCAGCAGAGTTGATCATTGGAACTTGGCTCTCTCGCTTGAAGAGTTAATTAAACCACTATTAGTTGTTCATAATATGTTATCTAAACCTCTCAGGTGCAAAAGATATCTAACCTTCTAAGGTCAAAATTGCGGTTCATGAGCTCAGCAAGTTTTGGATAGTTCTTTTGAAGTATCACTGTATATCCTTCCTCTGCAATACTTGCAACTTTCTTCATTGATGATATAATAAACTCGTCACCATCAAGCCATCTTTGACGAACAGTACTATGTACCTGCATTTAAGATTTGTTCGAATGAAATCTAAAACAGATATAAAACAACAAAGATAATAGGAGGAAGCTACTGTAAAGTGCTAACCTTCCCAGAATCACTTGGATTCTCAGCATAGATAAGATGGAGAGGTGGAAGAAGATCAGTATCCATTTGTGTATAGATGCCATGCCCCAAGTTATCCATGTGTTCCTTACTAAAATCCTACGGATGAAAGTTGTTATTATAAAAATAGATACATTTATAAGCATTTGAACATCTATGCATAACATCACACACCATGTAAACAAGGCCACCATAAACTTGTGCCACTCGATCTTGAAGACCAGCAACAATACCAAGTTCTTTCTCAGCACTAAGGATAAGATTTGGCCTGATTTCCACTTTGACCAAATGTCTGACTTTGTAAAAGTCAAGCAGGCAGCTTAGAGCAGCACATACAATGGCACTGGAACCTGAAAGTCCTGTCTGAAATGTCAAAATTGTAACTTGATTGAGCTATACGTTGCTACCAAAAACCATTATACATGAAACCTAAGGGTGAAAAACAAGTAGAATAAAGCACACATAAACCACAATACCTTCTCAGCACTTCTCCAAATAAATCAAAGTGCAAAACATAATTTACTCTAGTTACATCCAAAAGCAAAAATGTAGAAAAAAGAATCGTATCAATTAAAATGTAGAGGTACAAGTCATCTATTTCTATTTGCCAATCATCACTGCACATAAAGTAAATACCAAAATGGTAACCTTGAGGGGCATTTGCTTTGCATCCGAAATATTTCTCAAAAATTAGGATAAAACTGTTACATGTTGATATTTTTGTATTTAGGATTGGATATTTTTTTTTAACCCTTATTATCCAAAACAAAGAGTTGAATCAACATTGCGTGTTAAATAGGTCATAAACTTGCGTAAAAAAATTAAACCAAACCATTATGTACCTGGCGAGGGATATTTGTATCATAAGATAGAGTGAAATTCCTGTCGTGAAGATCAATATTGTTGTCCTTGCAATAACTGTGGAAAACTTTACAGATAGCCATAAGCAATCGCACTCCTCCATAATAACCTTCATTTTGCAACCTATTCACCTGTAAGTACGTTAAACAACCACAATATAATTAAAACGTCACAATATCTCAGACTCAAACTTGCTATCCATGTAGAAACGACGACTGTAACAAGAGAGGTACTACATTACTAGCCCAGCCATTTGGGATAGACTCAGCAAAATGACTAGGTCAGCATGATAATTCTCCCCATAACCCAATAACATAGAGCCATTAAGAGAGGAAGGGCACCCCATCCTAGAGGACCTAGACTGCAAAAAATTTCCTGTGTAGTATCCAAAATTGTCTCTATTGTGTTTACAGATTTTCAGAATTTATAAATCACAAAACTCACGACTTCGAAGTTTTTTCCTCTCTCTTTGTCAGCAAAAATTCACAAATTCTTATTAAATATAAGATTTCTTATATAGAATACTGCTATAAAGCAAATATTGAAGCTCAAACCTAATGCACCTGAAGAAATTGGGTTTCTCAATTCTCATTCAACCTTTCATTGATTAAATATAACACTTTTACCTTGTTTCAATACGATTTACTTCCTTAAATTGATTTCTTTAGCCTCCACCACAAAGTTATCATACAGACAATTCGTAATATATAAAATAAAACACTACAAATAAATATCTACCATTTTAATTAAAATCTTTATATACTATTCATTTTAACTTCTAACTTGACATGCAACTTCATACGTAACCTAGGACATTGGTTCCGGTAACAGTAAAGTAATGAATTCCGCAATATAGCGACGGATCAAGCAGAACGAAGACAACAATGTATATGAATAAAATCACGATAATCTAATTGGGATCCAAAGAGAAAGAGTGAGAGAGAAACCAGGTGATGAAGAGATTGAAATTGGACGAGATCGTGGACCGGATGAGGCTTGATAATGAGATGATCGGAGGGCTCTAATTTGACAGTGGCCCAGAAGTTACCGAGACTGAAAGAGATGGTACGGCCGTAGTAAACATCACTGGGATTACCTAACAATCCAACTCTGGCGTGCGCTTTATGCTCGATGATCTCATCCATTACTTCTGATTCTGAATCTGAAATCTTTTAGAGACGTGACTGGTTGATTGTTAGCTTCTTTTATAACTCAGCAATTGGTAGGGATGGGTCCCACCTAGCAAATACGGTACTCTATCCTTTAAGCTGATAAGATTTAACTCTTATTTATAAATGTTAAGTAGTTTAGGTAAAATATGGGTCATAAATATATTTTAGGCAGAACGATAATTTGCTATCCTAAAGGTTTGAAAATGACAAACAGCTACTTCCCGTCTAGATCTGTTAGTGAATTCCATCCACAGTAACAGAAAGGTCTAAAACGCTCTTATTATTTTCTTCTTTCTCCTCCTCTCTTCTTCTTCCCTTTTCTTCTACACATCTCCTCCATGATTTCAGCTTTTCCCAAATTATCAAGGAAGAAAGTATAACTATTTGGCTGCATATAAATGTGATAACTCACCTTTAAGCTTCAGACCGCTTTCATATGAAATTTCGTTGGCGTCTTCTGACATACTTGCATCTCAAAAATAAGATTAGATTATTTTTAGAATGTACTGCTGATGAAGTACATGGCATGTTATTAAATTGGCACGTCAGGATAGCATGCAAAAGCCTGAGTCTAAACTTAAACTAACAATAGCACAACATTGTTTCCGTTTAGAAAAGCTTTGCTCCAACGCTATTTATGCTTTGCTTTCATTCTTTCATATAATTACTACCGTAAAAACAAATATAATTCGATTGTGCCAGTGGCAGTGAGTGATGGAGTTGATAATGGGTTTAAAAATTAATCTTAACTTTATTCTCCAAGCCTCTTCATGCCACCATTAATCTCCTGCTTCGACCTTGACCCCAAATTAATAAAAGTGGCAATTGAAGTGGAGATTTTCTAATAATTTTGTAGGTGCTGATATTGATTAAATATGTAGTGGGAAAGTTTGGTGTGGAGTTCAGAAGGGAAATGCACGGACATTCAGCGGCGGTTCGTCAGTTGTTTCATTACAAGGGGCAGTTGGATCCATTGAAGGGGGATGCCCTGAATAAGGCTGTGCGTGACACCACTCATGAAACTATATCAGATGTATTCTCCGAAGAAGGCAGGAGGGGAATTGGGACACGGTTTTGGACCGGGAAGTAAGGTTTTCAAGAACTATAGTAATTTGCTTGAGAAATTGATGAAGACAAGCATGGTTGGGTGTTTAATGCTCCTGTTGATGTTAAGGTTCTTGGTTTGACCGATTACTTTGCCATTATCAAGCATCCAATACATCTGGGAACTGTGAAATCAAGACTGAACAAAAATTGGTACAAGTCGCAATGGGGGAGGGGGAGTTCGATGGAGATGAAAAGCTGAAATCTTGGAGAAGGAGATGTATATAAAGCGGTGGAGGAGAAAAGGGAAGAAGAAAAGAGGAGAAAAAAAAAAATAATAAGGGCGTTTTAGTTTTTTTGTTACTATGGACGGAATTCACCAACAGATCTGGACGGAAAGGGGTTATTTGTCATTTCTAAACTTTTTGGTTGTCCTCAGTGTTTTGAAAACCGGATCGGACCGTCCTGTCGGACCAATTCGACTAACAACCGGTGGTATTTTCGGTCCAATATATTGTAAAAACCGGCATTTACCATTAAACCGGATTGAGCCGCGGTTGGACCGTCGAAATACTGTTGAGTCGCGATCCAATCGCAGCTCCATCCCGTCGAATTCCGACATCGTTCGACAGAGAAAACACCCCCATTCAACGTGAC